TATTATGCAGTTGCATGCATTTGTCAGGAGTCTACAAAAGTTGCAGTAGCAAATTAATTATGAAGAAAAGTGTCCTCTTTGGATTGCTCAAGAGTACATGAGATGGCAGTTGGGTTCACAGCATGCATTAGATTAAAGGAAATATAAAGGAATCAAGATGCTGGTAGCAGTGCCTAATAATAGCAGTTTGTTAAGAGGAGCAAGTTCATGGGGAAGCCAGAATGGCTTTCTGCTCTCTAATAATTATGATCAGTTAGAAAGGGGAAATGGCAATATAGAAATGAGTTCATCCAAACCAAAGAACTCATCATATAATGGTAATTCTAATTAAAGTAAACTGCCCCAACTACTTGTTTACATGGATGCCTCAAGCTACGTATTGGACATTTCTAGAGATGTGTGTTCTCAATGTGCAAAACTCCATGGGAGTCAAGTAGTCGCCATACAGGCAGAAGTAGATTAAAATATATTGGGGCCTTGGGGTTGCCATGCCCCTAGCTCCTCCCCCTGCTCCAAGTCCCTGCCTTGGGTTACCAGGCAACCAGTTTATGACTTGAACACCCAGTCGAAAAGGGATGCTAATGGCTCCAGTCAGCAACAATGACCAGGACATTAAAGTCTGGTCGGTCCCAGGCAGACTGGAACATTGGAGCAGGAGGGTTGGGGTGTGGACTTGGGGCAGTGCTCACCTCAGGCATCTCCTGGAAGGCAGCAACATGTATTTGTGGCTTCTAGGCACAGGGGTGGTCAGGGAGGCTTTTATTGCTGCCCGTGAGTGTGGTCTCTGTCCCCACAGCTCCCTTGGCTGCAGTTCTGGGCAAGAGTATTTGGTTTTCTGTAAATAGAAAGTTGGCAACCCTAGACCTGCCTCTTGGCCTGACCAGAAGCTAGGTCATGATAAGAGTTGTCTGGGGAGTATGGACCACTGTGGGGAACCCCTCAAGACCCTCCATCTGCCTGGTGTGGAGCACCCTGGGGGGTTGGGACAAGGTCTGGAAGCTGCTCAGATACACCTCTTCCCTTGCCCCCCCATCCAGAGCCAGCGCTCCCCACAGCTGCTCAGTGTCCATGGGCAGCTCTTACCACAGCTTAGCACAATGATCCCCAGGCTGTGGGGCACATACTCCTAGGGGGCACTGAGGACTGTTTGGGGTGCACAGCAGGACCCATTCCTGCATCCGGCTCCACCCCAGCACAGACCCCTCTCCCAGCTGTGGCTCTGCCAAGCGACTGGGCAGCTAAAAGTCCAGTTGGTCACATCCAGAGCTGACAATGTGAGAAGAGGTGCGGGGGAGGGGGAAGAGGCGACAGAAAGGTCACATGCCATGCCCCAAACATTGGAGGCAGGGAAGGGCCCAGGAGGGAAGAGGTGGAGCCAGAGCATCTCCTCTGCCAGGCACTCTCTCAACCTAGGCAGCCTCCAGCCCACGCTGCTGCAGGAGTGACTTACTGGATCCTCATACCAGGGGGACTGGATGGAACCAGCAGCAGACCAGGACAGAGTGCCCCCCTGCTGGGTAATATAGTATTGGGAGGGGACAGGGAGAGCATGGGGGCCCTGGAGAAGGGGGGCAAAAGTCACATGGGGCGGCCATGCAGGAGGACTACATCGCCCACCCCTTTAGCTGGTGTCCCCTCTGTGTCCCTCCCCATTAATCACCACAGTGGCCAGCTCTGCATGGCTCTCAGAAGCAGCTGGATCCTAGGCACAAGGGTGACCCGCCAGAGAGGTTCTGCATGCTGCCCACACCCAAAGTGCTGGCTCCACAGCTCCCATTTA